ACACACACACAGCCACACACACACACACACGACAGGTCAGGAAAATGCATTTTGTTTGTTACTGTAGACAGTATAAAAATTAGCAGAATTAGGGGTTGCCGATAATATTCGGCCCTCCCTCCTTACTAGTAGTTAGCGTCAGCGCTCTTACAGTACGTTAGATACAATTGAAAGTTGAGAGTTGTTCTCTTATTTTGCACAGACGGCGGAGTGTTTGCATTGAAACCATGTTCATTCGTATGTGCAGGTCCAGTGGGGATCACAATAAAATGAGCGGCGATAACCGCACAATGGGAATCCCGGCGGGGTGTGTGGTTGAATTCACAATAGTAGGTGAGACTAGTGTGGATGGTTGGGGGTAGCCTGTAACGGTGTGTTGGTGTAACAAGAAGGCCTGATATATCGGGGTATCGGGTAAGATATCGTGTATCGGGAGAAATCTGGAGAGTTGGACCTGGATATCCGGAAGTATCGATAATCGCAGCGGAAAAGTCAATATCGAGCATACCACATAAAATACTCCCAGCCCACTGACCGTGCCCCCGGCGTGTACACTGGCTGTGCTCTGATTGATACTATGTAGATTTATATGATAAGGTAAATAATCAGATGGAGCTTTTAATTTCAAGATTATCTTACTTTAATGTGTCACAAATTGTAGGTTAGCTAGAGTGTTATGATTTGTGACGCATTGTATATGTGTGTGTGTGGTTGTGTGTTGTGTATGTGTGTGATCTTATAGAGAACATATTGCTTCGATCATAAAGGACCTAGAGTCAAATTTGGTGTTTTTGTGTGTTTGTATTTGTTTCTGTCTTTGCGTTTGTCCTCTTGTTTGCTGCTGCCTTGAGAGAACGTGACCTGTTTCTTTTTGGTTTGCCTATGCATTTGTCTTCTCCTTTAAAGAATAATATATTATATAATTTGTAGTGGGGATGTGCACGACCACCCCACCCGCCACCCGTCAATTGCTCAGAGGCTCCGTCTAACCCAATTGTAGAAGAGCACTGCAAAAACACAAGGAATTAACCTCTCTTATATCCAATGAGAGCACTCTCTAGACCTCTTATTTTTTAGGACTGCACAGTTCCGAGATGTAGCTGTCTTCTGTTTAAGGTTGAAATTATCTAACTCTGGGAATAACAGTATTATCAGATCAAGGCAGCCACATCGGATGCGCAGTTCAAGTCACGAAGCTTGGGTCAAACCGATTATCATTGGCATACCATTAAATGTGGATGATTTTTTGAGATGGTAGGACTTGCGACTAACTTCGGCACTTGGTTCATGACCCACAGACAAATTGAGGAGGCAGAGAAACTTTTAGTTTCCCTGAGAAAGAATTCGTGGAATTCTAAGTCTTTCCGATATCTTCGAGGACTTTCATCCCGAGTAACCGGATATATGCAGGCTTTACACCAAAAACTGGTATTTAGGGTAACAATCGCTCAGAGACTTAGCAAACTCATCCAATATATACTGAGACAGAATAAGTATATAGACGTGACACTGAGAAGTCACTATCGTCCTACGGTTTATTACTTTTGGCTTGTGCATGTCCTCTCTCGCCACTTGATTCGCAGCACCAAGAAACATGGTCCATCAACGAGTGCTCCTCTCCACTTGAAGGGTGCACGCATCTCGTGGTCGCGAGTTCAAATGTCGAGGAAGCAGGGTCTCACCTCATACCCAACACATTTTTACGTACACATGGAGTTTTAGCGACATCTAGACCAGCAAGATATATCGGGAGCTATGAAAAAGCCTTACTAGCTATATTATAAGGTGACGCCACAGCCATGCTATTTCTTCGGGGGCTACCCTTAATTGCATTCATTAAACATTCTTATCACCATTATTACAGAGTTCATATGCTGTCAAGATGTTTCTTAAGAATGACCTGATAACGTACCACCCGTGTATCGTTTTTTTCTCTCACCACCCAAACACTCGTCTGCCAGAAAAACATTATGTGGACACAAGCCTTTAATCTCACTAACCTCTGGTGGTATCTAGCCTTACAGCTCAAGTACAAACAGTAAAAACAGTTTACAGTTTACACACACACACACACACACACACTTACTGCACATCCTGTTTGACACCCTTCAGTCTGTGGTAAGCCTCAGTGAAACCCAGCTGGTATCTCTTCATTAAATAAGCAGTAACGATGGTGGCACTGCGACTCCGCCCGGCCTGGCTGACACACACACACACAC